ATTTATTTTCCGGCTTCTGTCCAAAAAGTTGAATCTATGTGGCTGTTTATTATTGCAGAAAATTGTGCTGCTGACAAAAGAAAACCCCTACAGAGTTTCTTCCTTAAGGCCACTGGGCATAAATCTGTCCATTTGATTAATACATTACCTTTGCTTGAATAAGCATATTCTCTGAATGTAAAGGCCACTTTCTAAATTATGTTGTCTCCTCGTTTTTGGGAGGCATTTTTCTGTTTAATATTAATTTCCTTATTTAATGAAAATTGCCCCATCCACACTGCCCATCTGTTTACAGCATTCTCCGGGTTGGATAGGTGTTGTACAATATTTGGTTAGATTGATGACATTAAGGGGTTTATCAGATGGATTTCAGTCAGTAACTCCCTAATTGCCAGGTGTTGGTTGATTTCCTAAAATCACATACGGTACAATAAATTGTCAATGGGAGAGGTTTCAGGTATATGTTTTAATTTCCCCAGTTTATGAAATAAACAAGCAACTATTTCCTTAAGTTTTACATGTAAGGCTAAGGCTTGGCGATTGAGTGACCTAGCATAATATCTATCTATTTTTTTTCTTGTTAAATGAGTGTTTGCTAAGTAATGTTAGCTCAGACATGTCAGTTTGAGTCTTATGAGTCCGTTCTGGTTCTCTCCCCTTGATAAATTTATTCATCAATCTCAGGGAATCTGCCGCTCCAGGCAAACGCCTTGTTTGCCTCGCGGCAGATACGCCCCTGGCCCTAAGTGCTGTTAAAAATGTGTTTCCCCTCAGCTAGCTATTTTAAAATGGAGAAGTTACACTTTCTAACACAAGTTTCAACTAAATACTTCAGGAAATGTTTTATGGCCCCTTTCTGTGGGATTAAAATGTATAAGATGCAGTTGCACTATATTAAAGTTTTATTAAACCCTCAAATGCAAAAGGCATATTGTGCTGCTGACCTCGGCTCTTGCATTTTTACCATGCTTTTATTTTTAAGCCTATGGTTGCTTTGCTTTAGATTTTTCAAAAACCGGTCTTCGCTGCTCCCTGTTTTCGGGTGGCTTGCTTTTGTATGTGTTCCTGATTTGCCACTTTGAATCCTGGCTCCTTGCGAATAATGAAACGGATAGCCCCGGCCACAAGCCACTTACCTTTCCATTTTCCTCCCTGCAAGTAATTGATTGCAGCTGCAGCCTGTGCTGCCCCTAGTGTTCAGTGCAACTGAAGTACTCCTCTACCCGCAATTCAGGGAAGCAGCGCTGAGCAATCTGGAGCCGCCATTGGCGTATAGCAAATAATGTATTTGTGGCTACATATAAAGAAAATGTGGACTGGGAATGTTTGCCAGGTTGTTAAGAATGCATTTATTTAAAAAAAAATTAAACACTGGAGCATTTAATGCTACTTGAAGTAGGTGCGGCCCTCAGACATAATGTGGCCCCCTTGGACATGTAGCCCCTGCTCACACCACGGTGTCATCATTTTTGCGCGTTTGTACGCACGGGTTCACCTAGCTTTTCTTTTGCACGTTTATGCACTTTTTGCGCACACAAATGTGCAACATGCTTCGGTTACACGTTTCCTGGCATTTCCATTGGGGTCTATAGGGGAAAAACTAGCTGCAAACTGCCAAAAGAAGCTCGTCTACTTTTTTCTGCGTTAGGCTTTTTGCTCATAAGGTATGAACAGGGGCCATTGAAAATCATGGGATTTCTTGTGTTGGGCGTTTTGAAGCACTTTTTCTACTGCTCAAAAACACCTAGGTTTGATCCAGGTCTTAGTCTTAATTCGGCCACTTTTCAAGTTTGATATTCCTGGGTTTTACTCAATACATCGTAATGAGAGCATGAACAATGGTGGACAGTGCCATCTTTGTTCAAGCATCATCCATTCTCGGGTCAGCATCTGGGACAAAAAAATGCTGGCAGATAACATAATGAAATCACCTCCTCTTTATAGCTAGTAACTAGAGGACCGTCCTGATCAACACAGGTCAGGAGATGACCTTTCACTCATAGCCACACTGCACAACAGCCCCTTAGCCAACGCCAGTCTGTTTTCAAATGCCAGTGATCCATATTTCAGAATGTCAGCACTTAATAGATTTGAAACATAAAGTTAGTAGCCGTGATGAAGATTTGTGCTGTCACTTGCCGTGATATAGTAGTGGAGGGGCACCTCATTTCTGGGGGCAGGGGCACTAAACTGCTTATTTTATTTGTATGTTTTGTGAAAGGAGTGCATGTTTAAATGGCTGATAGAACTGGTTATGCGGGCCCCACTATGTTTTCATTTTTGAGTGATGAAAAGGTCCACTTAAAATTATTTTCAATGTGCAGTGTTTAGCTCAGCAGCTATCTTACAGAATTGGCTTCACAGCAAAATCTCTTGAATATATCTGTAATTGTCCAGGTATGAGGATTTTTCCTAGTAAGACTAAAGGCATTTTTTTTATATTGCATATACCATATATAGATTTAACATTTATTTCCCTTTATTCTGTCTTGTACAGCTGGCTGATTAAAGTCTCTTTTTCTAGCCGGAGTAAACTATTTAGGATCTCTAGAAACTGTCAAGCTGCTGGAAATGATGCAGTTTCTGGAATATATTGTTCAGAGACCACTTTTGGCAAAGGCTTAACATCTCCTACTGCATCTTCCTGACTGGCTAGGCAACGTGTTTATTGCAAGGCCACAGCATTGTCAGACCTCATAGAAATCCGTGTCGTCAGCTTTGCAAGATCCAAGATCAGTAACAGCGCCAATGACAGTGAGGCACTGGCCTTATCACAGCACAATTCATAAGATGCTGCCCTGGGACATCGCTCCAGTGTCCTGCTGTGTATCCTGACAATGTTATCTGTCCTCTCAATATGCACTATCAAATGTCTGTCACGGGCACCAAAATTAATTTAATGTCACCTGAAGACATGCAATTAATCTTTCTGAGGTTTTCATAATACCTTTACAGAGAAGAGGAGTCTGCTTGAAGGATTTGGATTTTGGGGCTTAGTAGAAGATAAGGGAAATTAATTTTTCATCGGGGTTAATGCCGACGACAATAGGCTGAGAGTGAGGCGGTTTGGGAATTTGTCAAGTGTTGTCACTTCAGAATAATGCCGCTTAACGTCTCCTAGTTGTAATCAAGAGATGTGATTTCTGTTGAGGGGATTAATCAATTTGCTCAGTGCCGAATTGACGTTGGCCGTATCTCTTCTTGGGGTTTGAGGAGGAAAATAAGATTTGATCTGTCAAATTGGAGAAACCTGACAGCAGCAACACTTTGTATGTGAACACTTAACACACTGAAGGCTTGGCAGCTCTCTTCATCTTCATTGAAAAACACCATCCATCCTAAAGATGCTCTGCTATGAGCTATTGAAAACATCTTTATTTTTCTCACACACAGACAGGCTGCATCTCTTGTACACTTTTGTATGAAGTAATAACAGATTGCATATTCGTTGTTATGCTAATGTTTCCTGTCGCAGGAACTAATTCATCTTTTTCAATCATACATTTGATCTGCTTATTTAAAATTGACCTGTCATGTCCATGTTCTTCTGTGATGTAGGCAGCCTGAATGTGTAGCTTTTCCTTTTTTTTTTATTTGAATTTTTTCTTAAATGAAACCCCATAGAGCACCATATACCGTATATCCAACATAATCTCCTAACACCAATCCAGTTTAAAGGCTGGCTCTACCGAAAGCCAGTATTTCAATTTTGGTTACTTGTTTCTGATGTGTATCAAGGATTTAGTGCAAATATACTTCTGCCAGTTTTCCAAGCTTTTCCAACGCAAGCCATATGATGGTCTCAGGCTTCTATGCTAGATTCTCTGTACTGGAGATTGAAGAAAGTATTGGGTTCAGTTCAGCTGTGATAGACTCATGGTGGCATTCTGGAAAGTATGCTGACAGACTACTGTAGACAAATCTTGCTAGGGCCAAATCTCCGCCTTGTCGTTGTCTGTCCTACAATCACGCAAGACCTTGTAACCCAGTTCACCTAGTTACCGACTGGCTCTGACTACAGAGGTATTGAGCACACTCCCACGCCTTTCCCCACAGATTCTATGGCTGATCTGCCTGCAACGCTAGTGGCTTCTGAGCCATCAGACACACTGACTATATCTGATTCTAATTTACTCCAATCTCTACCTGATGAGATTATCCTCGAAGAGTCAGTGTTCTGCTATCACTCCAAAATTTAGAGACTGTTTTGGCTCTTATTGATGTGTTGCACACTACTCCATAAGCCTGCTATCTCTTGCTCAGGTTTTCATAGTCCCTGAAGCCGCAACAACCTTCCCATTGCACCCGCTCTTTGAGATAGTTTTCTATGGGGATTGCAAACACTGAACATTCCCTTGACACCCCCCAAATGTTTACTAGACTTATACCCACTTGGAAAGGATTTTGTCAGACAGTGGCCCACCTTAGCAGGGAAACCTCTAGGATGGTGGAGGGTAATTTTTCAAACCATTGCAGAACAGTCATAGCAGAAAAATGATTTCTCCTCTGCACCAGGGAATCCTTGATTGATGAAACATATGGAGCAGAATGCCAGAGCTTTACGATTCAGCTGTGATGTGCTGCTAGAAGCATCTTGACTTTTCAACCGTAGTTATATTTTTTCAGTACACATAAGCAGAGCATTTTGGTCAAAGTGCTGGACTGTGGTGCACCTGACCCACATGGTCTTTTTGATGTACAATGTCTTTTCAAACCAACACTTGATATTGTGGTGAAACAGATCTTAATGTTTTATTCTTTATGGGCACCCCATGCACAATAGGTGTGTTTTTAGAGAAAAGGTAATTTAAAAAACATTGTGCTAGGTTGTTAGATACTACTGGTGCTTAGCAAAAGTACTGTTAACTTTCAAACCAGTAAAAAGCTTTTAGATCACAGATAAAGTTGTGTTATACACATGAACACTGGTTTTTTTTTTTATCCAAGTGAAATGTCTGGTTGTAACATGGAAAGAATGATTGGTAAAATGTTTTCAACAGGCTGAGAACAATGCACTGGAGCCTGCAGAAGGTGGTCACCAACCACAGGTTCCTCAGCAGAGAATCCCATCTCAGCAAAGAATTGTGTCTCAGCAAAGGCTTCCAATGCAGCAGCAACTGAGACCACAAATGCAGCAGCAACTGAGACCACAAATGCAGCAGCAACTGAGACCACAAATGCAGCAGCAACTGAGACCACAAATGCAGCAGCAACTGAGGCCACAAATGCAGCAGAGGCTGCAGATGCCACAGCAGCAGATGCAACAGCAGCAGAGGCCGCAGATGCAGCAGAGACCACTAATGCAGCAGCAACGCCCTCAGCAAAGAACAGGGCCAGTGCGGAAAGTAACATTAGGAAAAGCAAGTGTTCAGCAGCAACAACAGTCTCAGCAGCAGCAGTTTCAAGTAAAGCCCCATCCACAGCTTTCAGGATCCACAGGTTCCCAGATTGTAACTAGTGTCCAAGGATATCGCCCTGCAAATAAGGTACATTGCAATGCCTCCCATACTAGATCTTTTTTTGCTTTCCTTAACTACAGCTGTCAGAACCCTACCCTCCCTGCGTCCTATGGTCTGGTGTGCCTTGTGGAGCGCAAAATACGGTAATTGTGGTAGCTTATCTACCCTGCCTCTAGTGCCTAATCTAAGTCTCTACGTTTCATAAAACAGATATGGGGAAACTTGTAAAAATCTAAGTCACAAAAAGTTAGTATGATAAATACTTTAATAACTACCCAAGTATGTGCTTACTGAAAATACATTATTTCCCTCCCTGCCTCCTGAATGACATAACAAACCAGACACACGTCAAAGGCAAAAATAAATTACTTAGCAGTGTGTCTGCTGTACAGTCTAACAGCAAAAAGTTTTCCTGGCACACTCACAAGCTAGCATGTAAAAAAAACTTGTCTCACCACTAAGGTTAAAAACAGAGGTTGCTGTACAGTCTATCTGTAATATTTCCAAGTACTGGTAAGTAACGTGAACTTGCTGTAGTTTAGCAAATTGAACAAAGCGGCTTTGCCTTCAAGTCATTTTGTTGTAAGGTTGCAGTTTTGCTGATAACCATCCTGATTATTGATCAACACATCTATTTATTTATTTTTTTACAGAGAGACCGTACTCTTGAGTACAGCACATAGTTTTAGGTGGTGGTTCCTGCTATACACGTAATAAAATATTGTCATTTGTATTAAGAACTGTAAACACTGTGAAAGGACAAACTAACTTTTGTACATTTGGCTGTTGGCAGGTCATTATGCGAGGGAGAGGCAGAGGAGTTGGTGGACAGATGGGCCGCGGACACCCGATGCCAAATAAACAAAACCTTCGTATGGCGGAGTGCACTCCTCAGACTTGCGTTGTGTCAGTTGAAGGGCTTTCTTCATCAACCACTGATAACCAGTTGAAAAACTTGCTGATGTCAGTAGGACCAATTGAGGTAGGTCACCCTTGGAACCTCACTTGTGTCTTCTATAATCAAAACCTTTTTATAGAAATGATTCGATTAATCATTCCTTTATAGAAAAGGAATGGTTATTTGAAATGTAATTGCACAAATATTAAAATGTAAAGGGAAGGTTTAAATGCATACACATTTTTGATTACAATTAGGGCATTTGACTGCTTACTGCTACATACGATTATATGTCTTTTATAGCTTAGCAAATTTTTCCTTTAGTAGCTAGCTGTGTGTTAGAAAATGCGCTATGCATCCTTAACACATTCTAAAAAAATGCTCACTAAAGATTAATAAGTAATGCCTTCTATGTGAAAAATATTGATTTAGAGTTACCTTTTTATGGCGATTATTATATTGCAAGTATGAATATAAATGTAATTGCAATCAGTTGGGATGGGAAGGAAAATGTGGAACCAAACTACTTCCTCACTATGCTGGTTATATAGGGCAAGACCTTCTCCCCTGTGAACTGACAATGAAGTCCTTAAGACCCTTTACTGTACTCACAAACTTCTAATTTTGTGATTATTCTAATCTAAGAAAAAACAAATAAACCAAGCAATGTCTCTTTTGTGCATCTGATCTCCTCTTCTCAAAGACTCCCAACTATGATTAGAGCACACAAATCCATGCTTCCGCTTCCTGTGTTCCATGCCTTGGGCTGCAGATCTTAGACCATGGAATAATTATAAGAGCTTGGGATGTGATTCTCCTGGTGTTCCTTCTGACGTCACTGACTATAGTACCATAATATAAATTAGTAGATTATTAAAATGTATAATTTTTTCCCCCCATTTATAAAATTTCATGCACTGGAGTTTAGAACTTTGAAATGTTTGGTTTAAAGTCTAGTAAATCAGTTATTTCTGATGAGACAGGTCTCCCCTTTATGTCAATGCTGCATGCAGTTTGTCATGAGAATTCAGCATCTTGCTGGCCCACTTGGGGCAGGATCAAATGAGATCAATTGAAGTGGCCTCCTCAGGTAGCAGTCATCGAGGCACAGTGGGAAGGGTAGCACTGTGGCTGGAGTGTCCATATTGGATGCTCCATCCTAAGTGCAGCTCAGTAAAGCCGAGTCTGATGAAATCATTGCTGAGCTCCCTGCCTGACCAAGCACCTTTCACACAGGCAAACACAGTGGTCGTGCCTTTTCAGTGACGCAGAGCCTGGTAACAGTGCAGACTCAGCGTCACTGCCTGCCATTTCACCTCCCTGTGTGACATTCACCCATGGCATGACCCTGACTAAGGGGGCTTTTGTAATAAACATGTACTAACAATATCTCTTATTGCTCATAGAAACCTGCTACTTTCCTACTCATTTCTGCAAAAAAGTGCAGGTTTGAGACCGAAGCAGAGGTTTCTGTTGGCCCATTTTTATATTTAAAATCATTTTATTGTGTATTACAATCTGTATTCATTAACCTCTTGCCGTCCGCCCGTCTCCCCAGTGGTGAATAAATACCACCAAAAGAAAGCTCTATCTGTCCCCAAAAAAGGGTATAAAATTCATTTCAGTACAGCGCTGCATGACGGAATAAATGTCAAAGTACCGCAGCGCTGAATACTGAAAAATGGCCTGGATGGGAAGGGGGTTTAACACCGCGGATGTCAACTGGTTAAAGAGGTGAGTAGTAACAGTCTTGCTGACACAATGTCAGAACCAAAGAATACGGGCAGCAATAAGCTGCATGCCCCCTAGATAAAGCTCTGTCAAGTGACGCTGCTAACTGGGAACTACGTCATTCTTCAAGAATATCAGCTATTAAGTCCCTCCCACTTAGTTGAGGCATTATGTCTAAAATATTCTTCAGCTTTAATCAGTTCCCAGTGTACACCAAGCTTCAATTCATACCACTCAGGAGAGGGGTCCAGGAATCGTAATGGGAAACTGGCAGCAATGCTGTATAACACAGTAAAAGAAGCCATCAAATAATTTTGATGACCTTTATGCCTTCCTATGTAGAACCTACGTGGGATCCATGATCCATAGTTCTTCAGTCCCTCCACCTTTCTGTAGAGGATTCTCAGCAGTGGACTCTATAATCCACATGTGTTTGCAGTTCCCATTCATACCTCCCTTCAGGATTTAAAGCACCAGGTCATTTTGTACTCTCTTTTAAGGCATATTCCATTTTAAGAAAATATAATAAATGCACCCATGTTTAAAAAAGAAAATGTGCATTTATTTGTTTTTATTGTTTATCCGATTAACCGATTAATCGAACTTAATAATCGGCTAACTAATCGATTTTGAAAATAATCGTTAGCTGCAGCTCTATTTGCAATGTAGCCTGCAAAACTTTGCAGCTGCGATTAGTCCATTGGCTCCTGCAGACTATTGCCCCAGTTCTGTATTGAGGTATGAACCTATGGTTATGGGGCTGGAGGAAGTAATTGATGGGCTTCAAGTGCAAGTGTGGTGATCTGTGAAAATAATGTGTGCGGGCAGAGCCATGCACAGCCCTCCCAGATTAGACTTCAGTGGGACGAATGGGTAAGAGGGGGGCCTTTTACAGGGGGTTGGGATGGGCTTGTGAAAGGGCACCACGTTACACCCTAAATATGGGTGTGGCATGAAAGGTGGAATTAACCTTTGATGGAACTTTTCATGAGCTCCACCCAATTCTTATCGGAAACACCCAGGCACAAGAAATAATCCATGTCATGATTTGAATTTATAGCCATGCTTGCCAAACTTCATTTAGCTTCAGGTGGAATCGTGAACTCTCTCTTTGGATGCTGTAAAAAAGTTAGAACAATTTGAAAAATAACTCCAAATGGTTATTTCATGTTTACCACCAGCAGGCAGCAAATGTTACAAATAAGTAAATCCTTCATATTTTAGTTTTATGACTTTGCTCTAAATAGGATGTAACTTTATCTTGCATTCTGAAGAAACACAATAAAGATAAATTATAAGGGTTCACAATTCAGTTGAACATGTGCAAAGCAACTAGGCCTATGTTAATCCCCCTCTCCCCAGCGCTACACACTCTCCTTTCTTCTCCTTTCACTCCCCCCTCAAATTTGTTAGGCTGCCAAGAGCAGGAGAAGTCACCGTGTAAACAATGAGATACTCTATTTATAGCTTACACATTGCTTTGGACTTTCCCCATATAACAGTGCTGGTGATAGGCCTAGAGCTGTCACAGGCTCCTCTACACACAGACATACTGTGTATTTTTTTCACTTCAGATAGCTGAACAGTGGTTGGAAAATATGGGATAATGCATGTTCAGTGGTGGGGGTGGGATAATGCATGTTCAAATGACAGGTATGCATTTAAGGTAAGGTTTGAGTTTGATCAGAAAGTGAGCAGCTACTTCTGGGCTCATTAGAGAAGAACCTCCTTTCTCTCTTCTTACATGTTCAATTTATTATATCAAACAGATATAAAAACACACAACAGTAAAACGTGCAACCAAGTAAATTTTTCAGATTTGACCTTCAAAAAGGTAGTTTTGAAATTGTTGGCAGCAACACATCTCAAAAAAGTGGCAACTAAAAGCTGGCAAAGTGGTACTAACAAGGAAGAGCATATTGCAACTAATTAGGTTGATTGGCAACAGGTCAGTAAGATGACTGGGTATAAAAAGAGCATCTTAGAGATGGTCTTCTCTGGGCCAAAACTCATTTAAAATGGTCTTTTGCTAAGTGGAAAACTGTTCTGTGGTCAGATAAATCGAAATTTGACATTCTTTTTGGCAACCATGAGCGCCGCATTCTCTGGACTAAAGAGGAGAGGGACCTTACAACTTTTTATCAGTGCTCGGTTCAAAGGCCTGCATCTCTGATGGTATGGGGGTGTATTAGTGCATATGGAATGGGCAGTTTGCACATCTGCAAAGGCACCATCAATGCTGAAAGATATATCCAGGTTTTAGAGCAGTATATGCTCCCAACCAGACGACATCTTTTTCAGGGAAGGCCTTGCATATTTCAGCAGTGCTAGATCGCATACTGCGTATATGACTCTTCGTAGTAGAAGAGTCTGGGTGCTTAATTGGGCTGCCTGCAGTCCAGACCTTTTCACTAATTAAAAATATTTGGTGCATCTTGAAATGAAAAATACAACAAAGACGACCCACGGCTGTTGAGCAGTTAGTCCTTTATCAGGCAAGAATGGGAAAACATTCCTCTCCCAAAACTCTACCAACTGGTCTCCTCAGTTCTCAGATGTTTACAGAGTGTTGTTAAAAGAACTTTTTTTTTTTTGGCGTTGCTGCCATCAATATCAAAATTACCTTATTTTTTTCTTAAAATGGTAAAAAGTTTAAACATTTGATATGTTTAATATAGTAAATAAAATATGGGTCTGCCATCTGCCAGTTTGTATTCTGATGCAACAAAATAGGATTTTTGTACTCACCGTAAAATCCTTTTTCTCTCCGTTCATTGAAGGACACAGGGCAACAGATCGTAGATCCTGTATGGTAGGGGTATATCGCCACCTGCAGGAGAAGGACACTAAGCACATAACAAAAAGACAAAGACAGCCTAGGGGCGGCCCCTGCTGGTGGCCCAACCCCCCCACCTGCAGACAAGTCTCCATTTTTTTGCCTAGCGTCAGGAGTAAGGAGCTCAAAATTTTTTCTCCTTTGAATTCTTCGCAGATTCGTCCTTTTTTCACTGGACCTTCTAGCAAGTGTCGTCAGGGTGACAGGTTGGATGTTGTGGATCCTTGGAGTCTCCCCTGTGCGACGTCGACCGCATGCAGACTCTGCCTCGGTTGGTCGGCTGCGAAAACTCTGCCTTTTTAGGCAGAGTGGCCTGTGGGTTTGTCTAGGTGGGGTGCATATGACTGGGGGTCTCGGCCCACCAGTCACAGCATTCCATACAGGCTAGCAGTGCCGCGACTACGGTCGGGGGCGTTTTTCCGCCGTCCCTGCATCTTCAGTGCTTTGGCTGCCTGGATATCCATGGGGTGGCCTCCCCAGGACGGTACCCGGAAGAGGGTCAGTGGCAGGGACTTTG